GGATACAAATAGCAAACCCTAGAAGGGTTGTACTCGCTACAGAGCACCCCACTACAGGCTAGAGCATAATATTATGACATAAGGCTCACTGTGATGATGTATTAGCGGAAGCGTCTTAATGAGACTGGTTGAACCACCTTGCACTAGTATGTGAGAACAAGATAAGTTGATTATAATGCAGGGATACTGGGTTTATATATGATTACAGAAATATCAGAAACTTGACCGCTTTGTGTCCAACTCTAACTGTAATTGCTATCGTGGTTTGATTCAGCGACGACTCGGGTAACTGCTCAATAGCGAGTCAGTTATGTGTCCTTGCTGTCGTGCTGTCTTGTCGAGTCAAAGGTCGCTGACCTTTGACCTTCGCGACGGCGTCCTGGGCGAGTGGACGCCGACCTGGACGCCAGGACGCCGACCCTGGGACGCCGGGTTTGGTGTAGCCGGCGACCGACTGGGCTGGACGACCAGGCGGGGTTGCCCGGTCGACCAGGATACCCGGGCGACGTGTGCGAAAGTCGCCGGGATGGTTTCTGCGAAGGCGACCTCGGGGGTGGTATCCCAAGGTCGACGTGGCTGGCGGGCGCAGTCGTTGGCGTGGAGTCTGCTAGGCGTCTGCGCTGTGCTCGTGACGAGGTGTGGAGCACCAACCAGCTGCACGCACCTGCGAAGCAGGTGCACCGTTGTCCTGCGGGTGCAACGCTGTGCAGCCGACTTGCTGCAGCGTTGGCACGCCGTAGACTTGCAACGTTGGCAAGCCGCTACTTTGCTGCGCTGGGGCGGTGCCAGCTCTGCTGCGCAGAACCGCGGTCGACCATGCTGCGCTGGAGGTCGACCAGCAGCCTAGCTAGCTCTGATGTAGTCTGGGTTGCCAATGTTTTTGCTATCATTTTGAACCTTTGTTGTGAACTTTTGCTAGTGAAACTCTTGCCAATTCTCCCCGTGAATGTGTGCGTAGAGAGAACACAAGCAAACGACTAAGGAACGAACGCAGAGATCACTCTTGCCCCGTGCCTAGCCCGTAGTCAAGCTCCCTTTGATAAGAGTTATCTCCGCATTCGTCGGGGGTGGCGAGTGTAGCAATAGTCTCCGTTTTGCTTTCGCCCATCCAATAAACTGCTTCAAATCCTAACGTATATACGAAACACATTTTTGTTCGCCCGCTACATCACGAGTGCCGACGTCAACCACCGAGGCGACCATGTGGCGCATAATTCATTTTTTTCACCCCTCCAGCAACGGGCACATTTGTTGTGGCGCTTAGGTTTTGCCATCCACCCATACACCTTCCCACCTATTCCACCAGTTTCATCCTGGACCCAACTAGAATACTGGGTCATTATTTTGCTTACTCGCTTTAAACGGGCCAAGGTGGCACCTTTGTGAGTCATGACTCGAAGGGACTTCCAGTCAACAATGATGCGTAGAGAAAAGAATCAGCGGGGGGTCGGCGGTGCACAACACGAGCGGCGGCACCTCTTGCAGAACTGGCTGTGGGAGTAGCTCCACTGCTCTCACAAACCAAGGTTCTAGCAATGTTGTAGCTTCAGATGCATGAAAAAAACTTCTCAAACATCCGCTCCTCTCCTACCACCCCCGCGACATCACTCACTGCTTGACACCAACCGCAAGCGTGCGACAAAGGACTAAGGTCAGTTGCTGAATGGATGCCAAAGCCTCCTAGTCTAGCCTCCCGGCAACTGTAGGCAAGCCATCCGCGACTTCCCCGGCTCATGATCCCAGGTACCAGGAGGAAAGTAATGCTCAAAGCACTTTTCCATGTGGGAGCGACACATCATTTTTTTTTTTTTTTAGGTTTTTTTTTTTTTGTGGATGTAAGTACACTACAGTGTATATCATACAAAGGCATCCTCAGTCGTAACTGACTTGCAGGGAGGTATATTATCTAACTTATAGGTGCAACCTCCCATCACCTCTTTATGGTGGTTGAAAGGTGATGAGCGGGTCCTCTCACATTGCTTTGAAGCCCTCTCTCCATATCAGCGATGCCTCTTTGCTGTAGAGTTTGTTCAGCACCTCTGCCTCATCCGTTGCCAGGTGTTCGCAGTCCTTCCTGGTTCCGTGGCATTTTCGTCCTGGCTGTCGCTTTTTCGCCATGCTGTAGATTCGTACGTGTCGTGTAAACTGAACGTTGATCCTCCTTAAAACCCTCTTGGGTTGGAATTTCACCCCTCTACTTATCGCATTACACCTTGCCAGCCAAATCTGGTGTGGCGCTGTGGCGATCAGCGAGTCTTCCGGAAAACTCGAGCGCGTGCATGTTTCTTGAAACAGTAGATCACCAATCGTCCCCTCCTGGCGGTCTGGGTTCATGAGGTGCAGCGCTCTCTGGACCACATCCGTGACCGGCTTCACCCTGGGGCAGACCAAAATACAGTGATTCAGAGTTTCCACCCCTCCACAGTGAATGCAGTTGGCTCTTGCCCCCAAGAAAGAGAGGCGCTCCCCTAAATGGCCGAAGTATCACCTTTCTTGCCCTGGATGGTGTCACCAGCGAGTCCCTCGCCTCAATGGCCTTATTCCAATCGATGCACTTCCCCAATCTTCCTCCCACTACAGTTGCTGCTTTGGATTTGTGAGCTGGGGTTTGAGCGCCCTCATCAGGTCTCTCAGCTCGATTGGCTCCCCTTTTTCACACAGTCTTGACTGCAGTAGCCTCGTTCTTGGCGCTCCCAATGGCCCGCTAACTCGCCCTGCTATCTCCACCATGAGTACTGCCTTCTCCCAATTCACCTCTATCGCGCTAGCATACCTCACTTCTCTGACGCCACCTTTTGCGTCTACCGTCATTCTTTTCCCGTCTAGTCTGTTGTCAACCGTGTAGAGTAGTCTGTAATAGAGGAAATCTCCGGGCCGATATGAGTTTGTCCTGACCAGCTTAGCCGCCCCGACTCCGCGGTAAGAGTTTTCAGGGCCATCTCCTTCCAGATCGCCGGTGCTGCTTCAAGTGCCTTAAACACCCATTTCCTCGGCTCCTCTCCGCCCAGTTCTCTCTCCAGTGTCGCCTCCTCCTTAATCCCCCTGAAACTGTCAGCTCCTTTCTCTATCAAGTCACCTAGTGTGATACCCTCTAAACAGGTTGACCCCTTATGCCTTCCAAAAGGTGATTTCCCCTCTGAAAAAGATTTCTCTGTTAAAAAGCAGGTGTTCGCCTTCCGCCTCCCAACGGTTTGATGTCTCACTGATCATCGCCACTTTTGTCTCCTAGGGAGCTTCAACAGTTGCCTTTCATCTTATCCCTCCTTTCAACCAATGCTACAGGATTGTGGGTGTGCGTAGATCTTTGCTAGTCCCTGCAGAAAACCCGCCGCCTTTTCCCAGAGCCAGTGGCGGAATAGGTCTTTTCGCTGCCGCTCCTCTCCCAATGTTGTGTATCGCTATGCTTCCGAGCCTTTCTTTCGGACTAATCATTCCCAGATCCCCCTCCTTCCGACCTCTGTAGGAGAGCTCAAAACTCCACAAAAGAAATGTCTGTCAAATGATGCTCTTCCTTTCGAGATGAAGTTGTGGCAGATCCGCTCCACCTTCACCCATATCACTTGCGACGGCACATACTCCAACGCCTGGAACAGCAAGATCAGCATCACGTAGCTCTTAATTATCGTCACCCTGACCGAGGTCGTCAGGTGCTTCACATCCCATTTGACCAGCTCCCCGCACATTCGCTCGAACGCCTTGTATCAAGATGGCTCCGGCGACCCTCTTGGCGTGACCCAGATGCCAAGCAGTCGTTCCGGCTCATCTCGTGCTGCCCATCTAAAAGGTGAGCCCACAGGCTGCTGCCTCCTCCTGTTCTTTCCCAGTGGCAACAGCTTCTCTTTTTTCTTGATTAATGTGTAAACCGGAGATCCGTCCGAAATCGTCATTTTCCTCTACCAAGTGGAAAGGGCTGCTCAAAGCACTGCGTGAGACTGTTGGTGCACGACTCAAGACGAGATGCTCATGCGTTAGTGCAGCTCACTAGACAATGGTGAAATTTTGCGGTTCGTTGCATAATCTCATACCAGTGCCATTGGTTTGGAAGTGTTGGCAAGGTTCGTTATTTTGCATGAGAGATTTTAGGACGCGGTAAAAGTGCAAATATCGCCAGATCGTGAGCAAAAATCGATCCCGACAATCGATTGGTCGGGTCGTTTGGCGAAATGATGCGCGTACCAGGTTGTAACGATCGCACTTGAGTTTAGCCATGGATGTTCCACCACCGAGATTGTGGATCTGCCTGCGACGCGAATACTGTAAAACCAAGGGTCGCACAAGCACACCTGCGACGGTCGAATCAAATTTCTGGCTGGGCTCCGAATTTCTGGTTTGCTCTCAGGTTGGGCGACTCAAATTTCCGACTGTGCAAAAAATCAGCGCCTCGCAGGCATCCAAATCAATCCGGCTTGGTGCGCTCGGTTCGTGGGCATCAGATGCGCATCACCAAACGGGGGCGATCGGTGATCAGTCGAAATCTCACGCTGTGCAGACTTTTTGGCAAAAAATCGTACTGTAGCAAGGTTACAAGACAGTAAACAGAGTAACCAACCCGCACATCGATCGCGGAAGATCCGGGTTCGATCCCCGGCATCGGCGTTCCGGAATGAGTTCGTTTTTCTTTTGCTTCCGATTGTTTTCTCGTTGCATTACTGGCTACTGGAATCTACACGATATTAGCATCTAGACAGTGTAACGCGTGCATTCAGGTCGCGACAGCCAGTTTCGCGCCACCACCGACGCCACTATCACACCGTGTATCCCTCCTGCATCAACCCCCTTGGCCACCACCCCGTCACTACCACCTTCCCGTCTACCCTCCTTGGGAATGCCACACCGAAGTATTATTGCCGCAAAGGAGTATGATTGCCGCAGTGCACGGAAGTTGTTCTTGTAGAGCGAGAGGTTGAGAAGGTAGAAGCCAGTCAGTGATGGCAAGAAACTAGCGAGTTAAGAGCCGATAGCAGCACCGCTGTTACTTAAGCCGTCGTTTCGGTCTCCGCATGGCCCGAGTGAATCAACGTGTCGTGTTTCTCCTCCTCGCCTTCTCATTCGTAGTTCTTCCATCGACCTCGCACTCAGGTCCGTCGTCCAAGTCACCCCCAGCACCGCCAGTAAACTCCATCGCGCTTTTGAGATTTTTCACTAGTGATTTCGTCGCGCGCGCGTCATTCCCCGCTGAGCTAATGCTCTCCGTCCTCCCGCGTACGCGTGTCCCGCCGTGTTTGTCTCTCGGCGTCATCAGCTTGTTCCGCAGGGAATTGCGGCGCTGGGTCGGGACGTAATGACGTCAGCAACAAGGCGTCGAATTTCGATACTTTCGCGACTCGTTCCGAGAGGCATTCGTCGGGCTTCGCTTACTCTCGCGTGAGAGGGTGAGTGTCTCCGTGCCGCGAGTAGCGAATGGCTTGACTTGGTTGTGAGGTGCTTGAAGCTGGACGTGCTGCTAGGGGAAGTAGAGACGGAGCAGCTCTGTGGCGTTGAGAGGAGTGAAGTTCGGTGGAGAGGTGGAGTGGAGCAAGCTGGGCGGAGTTTAGGTTCAGGATGGCCTGCTGACTTGCTCTGTGCGCTGCTTTGACTAACACAACGACTGACGTTTTGTTGACTGACGCGGGTGTGGCTGAGAAACGTTTGACTGACGCGGTCTTAACTGAGAAGCGTTTGACTGACGTCGCTTGGACTGTCAAAAGTCTTGACTGATGTAACCTTGACTGCCAACTGTTTGACTCATATGGCGTTGACTGACAATTGTTTGACTGACGCGGCTTTGGTATGTCATGACATGGCATGGCATGGATGGAACTGGCATGTCATGGCATGTGTTGGAGCGGTATGGTGTGGTAACCCATGGACATGGCATTTGATGACGTGGCATGTGATGACATTGACTGCCACTTCTCGGAATGGTGTGGCATGTGATGTGACGTCACTGAGTGGCGTGGCAGGGCCCCATTGGTGGAGTGGCAGCAGCGGCTGCTGACATGGCATGCAGGGCAGGCGGGCAGCGGGAGAGACGCACTGGGGGAGCAGAGGGTGGGAGGCGAGGAGGAGTGGCACGGGGAGGAGGGGAGTGAGAGTGATGCAAGTGGTGGAGATGACAGCCGTATGGGGGAGGTGGTGGGGCAGGCAGGGGCAGAGAGGGGCAGGGAAGGAAAGGCGGAGGCGGAAGGGCGTGGGAGGGGTGGGGTGCATGACAGGAGGTCCACAGATGCTGGTGGTGGGGAATGGGGAGGGGGAGGGGTGCATGTGGGGGGAGGAGGAGGGGTGCATGTGGGGGGAGGGGGAGGGGTGCATGTGGGGGAGGGGGAGGGGTGCATGTGGGGGGAGGGGGAGGGGTGCATGTGGGGGGAGGGGGGGGGTGCATGTGGGGGGAGGGGGAGGGGTGCATGTGGGGGGAGGGGGAGGGGTGCATGTGGGGGGAGGGGGAGGGGTGCATGTGGGGGGAGGGGGAGGTGATTCGTATGGCAGCAAGGCAGATTTACACTCAGAGTGGGGCAAAGCAGATTCACATCGTGAGTGGGGTGGGGAGGATTCACAGTCAGGGCGGGGTGTTGGAGCGGACGAGCCTGACTCTCTGCTCGCTGACTTCCTCCCTGTGCTAGATCCGCTTCGCCTGCCGTCCCTCTTCCAATCAGCTGCTGCCACCTCAGCCTCCTCAGACACCGCTTCTCCACCGGGCCTGAATGCCACGTCAGCAGCAGGGCAGGAGGACGTGGTGAGCGCTGGAGGGTTCCAGTTTGCAGCACGCACAGCCGATGCCTATGCAGGCAGGGCAGGGGGAGGCGTAGAGGAGGTCAAGGTGGAGGAGAGTAGAGCTGGCGGGCAGCAAGAGGTGGGCCGTGGGAGACAGCTAAAGCAGCAGCACAGCGAGCAGGTGGAGCAGGGCGGAGGGCACGGAGAGAGGAGCAAGGCAGCAGCAGGAGGGGGAGGTGGAGGGGGAGGGAGCGAGGCAGTGCAGGGGGCCCCGATCACAGAGGGCGGGGTGAGTCTGACTGAGCTGTCATCCGCAGTGCTGTCAGGGTCGCTGCTCTCTGAAGCCCCTCTCGGCTCCCCCGTGCTCCTCCGCGTTGCCTTCTCCTCCGGCCCCAAGGCAGGCCACCAGACCGTGCAGCAGCAGCAGCAGCAGCAGCCTCTGAAGGGGGCGGCAAGAGCAGCATCAGCGGCACCCGGGGGTGTGTCGTCGCCGTTCTTCCGGCTGTCATCGCAGGTGGACCTGTCGCAGTCACGCGTGCAGCTGTACGGCCCCATGCCGCACTCGCGCCGCCGCACCTTCCCCCTTGCTGTAGCCAGCGCCACTGATGCTGCGGGCGGGGAGGTGCTCACTGCTAACTTCACTGTCAAGGTGCGCCACTCATGCCACTGCCACAGTCGATCGTTTGTTAGCACAACAACTCTTCTCCACGACCTCCCGTGGTGCTGTACTATGCAATGCAATGCAGTCCTCCCATAAAATGCAGTACTTGTTCCCAAAACCTCTCTCCATCTTCCACCACACATGCCATGTGCGCGTCTCCTCCCTGCCTGCCTGCGTGCAGCTGCCCGGGGCCTACAGTGTGATGGTGGTGGTGGCGGACACACAGGGCAACCGCCTCAAGTTCAAGGCGCCCAACTTCTTCCGCTCCGCCCTCCCCCGCCCCGCCGCGCTCCTCCCCGCCTCCTCCACGCCCCTCTCCCCCATCACTGCGGCCTCACCTGCAGCAGTGGCGGGGCAGCAGGCGCAGATGGCGTTTGCTCTCGTCAGCTCGGATGGGACGCAGATACCTGTCACTGACGCTGATGTGATTGTCGCCAGTGTGACTAAAGTGAATGGGGCCGCTGCTCCCAGCAGCAACAGCAGCAGCAGCGGTGACAGCAGTGGCGAAGGTAGTGGGGAGGGCGGTGAGTGGACGGAAGGGCCATCAGGGGTGGGCGTGGAGGTGGATGGGGCATCGGGGCTCGTCATTCTGCGCTTCACCCGCCCTCCCACGGCCACTACTACTCCCCCTCCCTCTCCCTCATCCGCGCCCAGCAGACCATCAATCTCCAAAAACCCCCACCCTCCCCCACCTCCTCTGCCTCCTCCGCCACCTCCCCCTCCGCACCCTCCTCTCTCACCCCCTCCTCTCTCACCCCCTCCTCTCTCACCCCCTCCTCTCTCACCCCCTCCTCTCTCACCCCCTCCTCTCTCATCCCCTCCTCGCTCCTACAAGTATCACCAGGCGAGCCCAGTGCGGATGCCTCAGGGCCGCTGCTGGTGGCGGCGCAGGAGGTGACGGTGGGGCAGACGGGGCGCCTCACAGTGTACGTGCGCGACGCCATGGGCTCTGATCTGTCCGCCGCGCCCCTCCTCTCGCTCTTCTCCGCCTCCTTCTCAGTCACCTCCAACTTGTCCCAACAGCACCTCACCTACCCCGCCACCCTCACTCTCTCTGCCTCCCCCTCCCCCGAGCCCACCTCGCCCTCCAACTCCTCCTCACTGGATGTCACATTCGATACAGGCACACTCGCAGGAGCAGCGTCTCTCTCCGTCCTTCTCTCAGGCCGCCACATCCGAGGCAGCCCCTTCCCCTTCACGGTCCTCCCAGGCCCACTGCACCCGCCTTCCTCGCTGCTGTATGGGCCAGGGGCGCACGGGGCAGTGCCCAAGTTCCCGGCGTTTCTGCAGCTGCAGCTGAGGGATGCGTGGGGGAACGTGCTGCTGGCCGGGGGCGCAGGGCAGGACGTGCAGGTGGGGGTGGTGCCCGCAGCGCAAGGGGCAGCGGCAGCAGCGGCGCTGGTGGGTGCAGGGGGAAACGGAGCGGTGCAGAGGGGTATGCCGGCGGTGGCAGAAGGGGCGGCGGTGAGTGTGGTGGACAGCGGCAACGGCTGCTACTCCATCTCCTACCGGGTCACCAAGCCCGGTGCCTATGCTCTCCTTGTGACTGTAGGCGATGTGCTACTGCAGAACGTGACTGTAGCAGCCACCCCAGCAGTGGACGTCAGTGCAGGCAGCGCTGCCGCCCAGCCCACGTGTGTGGTAACCGCATCGCCCGCCTCTGGTCCAATGCAGCAGCTGCTCGCGTTCGCGCCGCCTCTCGTCCAATCAGGCGCCGCCATGTGGCTGCGCATCGTGGCAGTGGATGCAGCGGGCATGGCAGCTGTATCTGACCCGGCTGTGCGCTCTGCCAATCTGTCCCTCACCCTGCTCTCCACACAGGGTCAAGTAGCAGACATCACTGCCACGCCCGTCGCCCCCTCCTTTGGAGGCAACCCCATCCCCGCGCTGTGGCAGGCGCAGGTGACTGTTCCGGTGGCCGGCAGCTTTGTCCTGATCTGCACGGAGTGCCTGGGCGGGCGAGCAGCATGGTAGTGAAGTCAGGCCTGCCGCTGCAGCTGCTGCAGGGGGATGCAATCGGAGGGGACAACACCTCCTCCTCCGCAGCCCCCTCTGCAGCTCCCTCTGCTCCCTCTGCCCTCTCCGCCGGTGCTGCATCAGCTGCCGAGCCAGGGAGTGGGCTGGATGAAATCTCTCTTGCTGCGCACACGCACTTGCACAAGCACAGAGCGCCCGCTGTCACTGCCAGTGCTGCCAGCACGGAGGCTGACAGCAGTGGGAAAGCAGATGGCTCGTCATTGTCAGTCCATGATGCTCTCTTCCCCTCCCTCCCTTCCTCCCAATCCGCTGCCACATCTTCCTCTCCAACTGAACCCACCACCAGCAACACTGCTTGTACACTGCATGGCCGCAACCTTCAGGCTTCTGCAGACACTGCCAGCATCCGCACCAGCAGCAGCACCAGCAGCAGCACCAGCAGCAGCAGTAGCCATAGTAGCAGCAGCAGTAGCAGTAGCAGCAGCAGCAGCAGTGGCGGCAGCGGCAGCGACAGTGGTGGCATGGCAGTGGCACAGGACACAAACTACGGGCTCATATCCGGCACACAGGGCTCCTTCTCCCTCACTGTCCTCCCCGGCCCCACTGCCGCCGCCCGCTGCTCCTTCGCCCTCGCCCCAGCCCCCGCCTTCGGTCGCGTCGTCGTCGTGGGCGGCGCCGTTCGTCTGCCTCTGCACGCCAGCGACAGCAGTGGTAACCAGCAGAGTTACAGCCTCAGCCGCTACCCTCCCACAGCAGACGCCTTCTCAGTTGTCGCCTCCCCTGCACCCGCCTGCCAGCCCCCCAAGGGACAGGCTGTACCTGTTGCAGGGGACGTGGCATTTGGGAGGTTACAACCAGGGAGCTTCGATGCTGAACTGAACTTCACCCGAGCAGGAGAGTATACGGTGCAGGGTTACCTGGGGGAGGTGGCATTTGGGGCGAAGGCGGAGAAGTTCACAGTGCTGCCGGGGGAGGTGGATCCGGGGGAGAGCTATGTGGACGGGGGGGATGTGAGGGAGGCGGAGGCGGGCAGTGTGGTGCGGATGAGGCTTGTGCTGCGCGATGCGCTGGGCAACACCGCCATCCCCTACCACCTCCTGCTGCCCAACTTCTCCCTCTCCGCCCCACCCAATGCCTCTGCCTCTGCGTCGGCGACTTCCTCTTCCTCTTCCTCTGCCACTGCCTCTACCTCTGCCTCTACCTCTGCCTCTGCCTCTGCCGCTGCCGCTACAGCTGCTGCCCCAGCGGCGGCAGTGGCAGCCCCATGCTCGGTGGTGCTGAGGCCGGTGAACCTGACCCACCGCGCCTCGTGGTGGGGGGGGCTGTGGACGCAGGGCGAGGCGGACGCGGGCGGGGGAGGCGGGGTGAGCGGGGGGAGTGCGGACGGGCAGGAGGAGGCGGGCACTGTGGTGATGGCGGCTGTGGGGGGTGGGAGGAGGGCGCAGCCGACACAGGAGGGAGGGCAGGGGGGAGGGCAGGAGGTGGAAGAAGCGGGGGGTATAGAGCCAGAGGGCGTGAAGTGCATGTGGAGTGCTGCGTGCTCGCTGCCGCTGTGCCAGGCGCTCACTGCCTCTGACTACGGCACGCAGCAGGCAGCATCAGGAGCAGCAGCACAAGGCACAGCCAGCAAGCGAGCAGCAACAGACGGGGCAGGGGTAGGGGCGGCAGGGGGGTGTGTGTTGGACGTGCAGTTTGAGGCGCGGCAAGCGGGCAACTTCAGTGTAACGGTTCTGCTGGAAGGTTCCAGGAAGAAGCTGGTGTTCCCGGTGCCGCTGCTGCAGGTGGTGCCAGGCGCACCCTCTGCTGAGCGCTCTACCATACAGCTCAACAGCAACACGCTGCTGCTGGCTCGCCGCCCAACGTCACTGTGGTGGCCAGAGACGCCCTGGGGAATGAGATTCGTGACTTTGACCCCTCCACTCTTCTCTATGCCGTCCTTCCCTCCAATTCGCCCCCTGCCTCTCCCCCACCCTCTCCGCCCCCTCCCCGTCACCCTCGCCGTCCCCCACGCCCCTTTCTCCTCCTTCCCCCTCGCCCGCGCCCTCAGCCCCGGCCCCGCCCGCCTCACCTGCTACCAGCAACGGCACGGCGGGCAACGGCAGCACCACCGCCTCTGCAGCTCAACCTCTGCCGCCACGCTCCCTGCAGGAGTCCCAGCCAGGAAGCAGCGGCGATGGCACGAGTGGCGATGGCAGTGGTGACGGCAGCAGCAGCAGCAGCAGCAGTGGGAAGAGCGGCGGGGATGCAGGTGGGGTGAGTGCAGCAGACGCGAGTGCCATGGTGCCAGCAGCAGCACGCGGGCAATCCGCCCCTCTCGTGGCGCACCCTGTGCTGCGTGCCCTGGGCCCCGTGCACGTGCAGGTGTACCTCGCAGGCCAGCCCGTCCCAGGTGCCACCTTCCCCTCACTGTTCTCCCCGCGCCGCCCGCCGCCGCCCTGTCATACGCGTTTGGGCCGGGCCTGGAGCGCACAGTCGCCGGCGCGCCCTCGACCTTCACGCTGCAGACGCGCACGGCACAGGGGCTGTACCCCGGGCAGACCACGGCAGAGGGTGGAGGGTCGCAGGGCGGGTGGACGCAGCTGGCACAGGGCGGCGACGGGGACGACAGCAGCAGCAGTGGAAGCACAAGCGGCAGTGGAGGGAGTGCGAGTGCGTGGGGCAGCAGTGCCACGTTCATGGACGGCGCAGTAGCAGTGGTGGTGACGGTGTTTGCACGCCGCAACGTGACCCGCCAGGCCGAGGTGCGATCCGTGGTCGCCCTGGGAGGAGGCGCCTACCGCATCACCTACACCACGTACGAGCCGCCCCACGGGGGCTTCTACCGCGTGCGCGTGCAGCTGCACGTGGAGGGCAGCGGTGAGCCCCCCGCGGACATCATGGACGGACCCTTCTTCGTGCCCTTCTTCCGCGGCTCAGCCGCTGCCGCTCTCTCCACTGTCAACACGTCGCTGCATTCGGTGCTAACCCAGCCGGTGAACCAGCCGCTGGTGCTGCTGGTGACCACGGCGGATCAGTTTGGCAACGTGGGTCCCTACAGCCCTCTCATGGACACCCTCCCTCTCGTCTTCACCGCCACCCCCGCCCGCTCCTCCGGTTCCTCCTCGCCCCCGGCTTCGAGTGCTGCCCCTGCCGCCCCGCCCAGCACGTCTCTGCGTGACCTGTACAACGGGTCGTGTGTAGCGGTGTTCTCTGCCGCCCAGCCCGGGCGGTACCAGCTGTCCATCAAGATCGCGGGGTACTTTGTGGCGGCGCCAACGGGCCCATCGAGGTAGATGTTATTGATGCTGCTAATGGCACTGACGGCACTGACGCCACGGCCCAGCCGACAGCAACAGCAGCTGCAGTGGCAACAGCAGCAGCGGCAGCAGTTGCAGGTGCAGCAGCAGCAGCAGCAGCAGCACCAACAGCACCAACAGCACCGGTACCAGCGGCACCTGGTGATTCTGATGAGGACAATACAGCAGCCCCACCAGCAGCAGCAGCACTGCCGCGGAATCTCCCCGGGGTGGACGCGTTACTACCGGGAGGCAGAGAGCAGCGCAGCAGCAGCGGGCACGGACGCCTGGCAGGTCACCCGCCTCCCAGTGGCGCGTCAAGGGGCTAGCAGGTGGCGGCTCCTCCCTCTTCGCCCTGGCCCCCACCGACTTCCTCCTCGTCCCCGATGCCAACGCCGACGGCCTCAGTGACGCCCGTGCCGCCTCCGAATCCCCCACCTCCGCCCCCTCTCCTGGGACGTGCTTGTCCAGCCAGTCCTCCCCCCGCCCTCCTCGTCCACCCCAGACCCCTCGCGTCCCGCCTCGCGCCCATCCACCGTGCAGCCTCTGTATGATGGCACGTGCCTCATCGCCTTCACCCCACCGGGTCCCGGCCCGTTCCTGCTCTCCATCCGCCTCTTCTCCCAGCACGTGCCTGGATCCCCCTTCCTCCTCTCCTCTGTCCCCGGACCTGTAGCGCCCGAGCTCTGTGACGTGTGGGGGTCGGGGCTCGGGCCGACGGTGACAGCAGGGCAGGCGGTGGCAGTGAGGGTGCGTGCGAGGGACTGGCAGGGGGTGGTGCGGAGGGGGCGGGGGGATTTGTTCACGCTGCAGATCTTTGGAGGGGGCGGGGGGGCGGAGGGGGAGGGGGGGACGCAGGGCTCTACTCCAGCTCGCTGCTGCAGCCGGCGGCCAAGGGAGGCGCGCAGGAGCAGGGGGTGTACGAGGGCGGGTACACCGCCGTGCAGGCGGGGCGGGTGGCGGTGTGGGTGGTGTTTCACAACACTATTGTCGCCACTGCTGCTGTCACTGTCCTGCCCGGCCCGCCTGCTGCTAACACGTCTGCAGTGCTGGTGCCTGCGGGAGGGGTGAGGGTGCGGGCAGGGGGAAGGGCCGAAGTGCTGGTGGTGCTGAGAGATGGGCTTGGGAACGTGGCTTCTTTTGATCCCAGTGCTGCCGCCAACACCGCCGCTGCCTCCACCCAGCTCGCTGTGAAGCTGCTCTCCTCGCCTCTCCCCACCTCCTCCCCCCCCCCACCTTCTCAGCCACCACCATCAACCCGTCCCTCATCGCCCTATCCTCCCCGCTCACCATCGCCGGCTCCTACCAGCTTCAAGTGCTACTCAACGGCTCGCCCCTCCCCTCCCCGCCTCTCGCCCTCCAAGTCGTCCCAGCCGCCCCTGCCTCCTTCTCCCTCTCTGGATTCCCCCCTGCCGCTTCCTTTCCCGTGGCCCGCCCAGTGATTGTCCACGTGGCGCTGCGTGATAGGTTTGGGAACCTGGTGGGGCATGGGGCAGGGGAGGAGGGACGGGTGGGAGGGTCGGTGACGATGTCGCATGGGGATGAGGCAACTGGGGGAGTGGTGGGGGAGACGTATGCTCTCAACGTGACAGCAGTGAATGTGACTGCAGCGGAGATGAGTGGGACGGAATGGCAGGGCACTGTCGCCACCACCACTGCCAGTGCTGCTACTACGGACGCCACTACCAGCACAGCCGCCACAGCAGGCCGCAGCAAGCCAGCCGCAACACCCGCCCCTGCTCCCTCTCCTGCCTCCCCCACCCCTTCCCCCTCCGCCGCCCTAATCCCCGCCTGGCGCCTCTCCTTCACCCCGCAGACCCCCGGGCAGGCCTCGCTGCAGCTCATGGTGGGTCCCCCCAACGCCGCCCTGCCTCTCTCCGACCCCGCCTCCGCCCTCCCCCTGCAGGCCACCATCCTGCCGCGCCCCGTCAGCCTCGCCCACGCCACTCTCTACGGCGCAGGGCTGCAGCAGGGAGGGGGGGTGCGGGCGGGAACAACGGTGGAGATGGGCATGTGTGTGAGGGACGCGCAGGGCTTCCCTCTCCTCACTGAATCTGCCAAGCTGCTCAAGGTGTCGGTCACTCTCGCCTTTTTTGCTCTCCCTGCACCCACGCCTGGCGCCTTCCTGCCCGTGCCTCCAGCCTCGGCCGTGCCTCGCGCCCGAATGGGGTACGGCGGGGGGTGCATCTTTCGAGGCTCGTTCAACCCTCCCAACAACACAGCCACGGCAGCGCCATCAGCAGCGGCAGCGGCAGCAGCGCCACCGTACGGGTTGTCAGTATCCGTGCTGGTCAACAGCCGCCCCGTCCGATTCCAATCCACCAACATCACTGTTCATCCCGCCCTGCCGCCCAACGCGCCCCTCCCGGCCAATCTCACGGTGACAGCTGTCACGGTCGACGGGGTCCCCATTCCGAACGGCTACCAGCTCCGGGGCGGCGCGGCTGGTTCGGAGACCAAGTTCGGCGTGCGGTTCACCGATGCTAGCAGCACGGCGGTGCTGGTTGAAGATGACTCAGCTCTGGTGCTCAAACTGACGCCCTCTTTTGACGCCCTCGACCCCCGACCCCACTCTGCTCTTCGGCCCTGCTGCTGCTGCTGGCGCTGCTGTTGGTGCTGCAGGCGCGCAGGGGGATGGGGCGGAGGGGGGCACGGACAGTGTGAGCGTGAGTGTGAGCAAGGGAGGGTACGTGACGGTGACGGTGGTGGCAGCAGCGGCGCATGTGGCGTGGCGCAACGTGCATTACTCCACGGCAGACGGCTCCTCTGCTGGCTGGTTCCAGCTGCTGCTCGCGCCAGGTGAGGTGCCTCCAGCTGCTACTCGCGCCAGGTGAGACGGATGACCAGCATGGGGGGAGTGGACTGGACGGCATCTCGTCTCGTCTCAACTGCCCACTGTCTGTCTGCTGTGTTGTGTTGTTTCCCGCCCTCAACTGCTACATTCCACTCACAAGGCACCTCCCTAAGGCAGCCTCGATTGACCTGCGAGTGTTCGTCCACGTGTGATGCGCGCGTCTCCTCAAAGCAGCTGTGCATCTTTGCCATCAGAAATTAGACATGGTACTTGTGCCTGCATGGTGTGAATTTGTCATGTATGCATCATGTTCCCATCATGTTCCCATCATGTTTCCATCATGTTTCCATCATACCATGTCCTTCTCCTTCCCTGCATGTGCGCTCAGGCCCAGCCAAGGCAGTGAGGGTGGACGCAGCACCGCTGCAGGCATGTGGGAGGGGGGCGTGCATGGTGGGGCGGCGCACGGCCTTCAGCATGGCGGTGCTTGATGCCTCTGGCGCCCCGCGCACCTTCAACCGCCTCACAGGGGAGGGTGACTCGCTCACCGTGCTGCTCACCCGCCCCGGCACCAACCAGGTGGTCACAGCCTTCAGTCAGCATGGTGGTTCTAGATGCCTCGGGCGCCCCGTGCACCTTCAACCGCCCCACAGGCCAATGTGATGCACTCACCGTCGTGCTGCTCGCCCACCCAGGCACCAGTCAGGTGGGTCACTCGCTGTGTGCTCTGAGGCGCCTCAAGCGTCGCCTCACACGCCAGGGAGACACACTCGCCGCGCTGCTTGCTTACCCACGATGGCGGCGTTCAGGTGGGTCCCTCTCCTCTCCTCGCCCCATGCGCCACGCGCCTCCCTCCTCGCCTCGCTCTGCACCTTGACGCAATTCGGCCGTGTCCAGAAGTGTCTGTAGCGTGATGTCATCTTTCATACTCTGCTCAAGGGTGTTCTTGAGCTTCTCAACCTGCTCTGTGCCGCTCATGTCATTCGCGCTCCTTCTCCTCCCTCATTTCCCCTCCCTCATTTTTCCCTCTCCACCGGATCTCCCCCACCCCCCTGCATTGTGCCGGCTGGGCCACTCAGGCTGTCTTCTCCTCTGGTGCCACTGTCAACTCCAAGGGGAACTATCTCGGAAGCTTCCTTCTGTATGAGCCGGGCAACTTCACGCTCTCAGTGCTACTGAACAACCAGACGGCCTTCACCATTCCGGTTCAAATCCTCCCAGGTCAGTCCACATCCTGCCAGGACTGCTGGTCCCACTCGATTGCTCCACCAGATCGTTCCTCTAATTTATCATTTTTGCTCCTCCTCCTCCTCCTCCTCCTCCTCCTCCTCCTCTCCTCCTCCTCCTCCTCCTCCTCCCCCTCCTCCTCCTCCTCCTCCTCCTCCTCCTCCTCCTCCTCCTCCTCCTCCTCCTCCTCCTCCTCCTCCTCCTCCTCCTCCTCCTCCTCCTCCTCCTCCTCCTCCTCCTCCTCCTCCCCTCCTCCTCTCCTCCTCCTCCCTCCTCCTCCTCCTCCTCCTCCTCCTCCTCCTCCTCCTCCTCCTCCTCCTCCTCCTCCTCCTCCTCCTCCTCCTCCTCCTCCCTCCTCCTCCTCCTCCTCCTCCTCCTCCTCCTCCTCCTCCTCCTCTCCTCCTCCTCCTCCTCCTCCTCCTCTCCTCTCCTCCTCCTCCTCCTCCTCCTCTCCTCCTCCTCCTCCTCCTCCTCCTCCTCCTCCTCCTCCTCCTCCTCCTCCTCCTCCTCCTCCTCCTCCTCCTCCTCCTCCTCCTCCTCCTCCTCCTCCTCCTCCTCCTCCTCCTCCTCCTCCTCCTCCTCCTCCTCCTCCTCCTCCTCCTCCTCCTCCTCCTCCTCCTCCTCCTCCTCCTCCTCCTCCTCCTCCTCCTCCTCCTCCTCGTCCTCCTCCTCCTCCTCCTCCTCGTCCTCCCTATGCCCTTCCCCTGCATCTTCTTTTCCCCACCACACCTCCACCCCACCCGTCCACACCAGGTCCCTTCTCCCCCTCGCTATCGCGCCTGCACGACCTCGCAGCCACAGCAGTGGCAGGCCAGCCCTACAGCTTCAACGCCACTCTCGCCGACGCCTTCGCCAACCCCTACCTGCTGCCGGGCCTCCCCCTCGTGCTGCACACACGCTCGCCGTCCTCAGAGGCCCACCACGGGGTGCTGCTGTCCTCGCCCTCCTCCCCCACGCTCACGGCCACCATCACAGTCTTTGAGTCGGGCCCGGCTCACCTCTCTGTCACCCACCTGCCCTCGGGGGCGCACCTCTGGGGGTCGCCCTTTACGTTCACTGTGCGGCCCGGCCCGGTTGCTCCTGCTGCGTGCTCGCTGCTGGGCCTGGTGAACGGTACGCTCGTGGGCAGCAATCAAACTTTTCTGGTGGTTGCCCGGGATTTGTACACAAACCCAATAGAGTACCCCACAGCAGGGGAGTCAGGGCTGACCCTAAATGTCTTGTTTGTTCCCGCCCCGTCCTCCTCCACTTCCGCCTGCTGCTGCTGCTGCTGCTGCTGGCGGTGGCAGCGGTGCAACAGTCTCAGCATCGGCATTGCAGCCCACGCAGGTAGACTCGTCCCTCAAGAACCCCGGCTTGCCAGCTGGCGGCCTCGTTTTCACCTTTCCCACACCAGCAGCAGGGACGTACACACTTTCAGTCAAAGTGGGGCCCACACACGTCATGGGCAGCCCTGCTGACGTGGTAGTGCTGCCACCCGCCCCGTCAGCCAGTGTGCAGGCGTCCTTCGACCGCTCCCAGCGCGCGCTCGCTGTCGCCTTCTCTCCTGCGCCCACCCTCTCCTCCCCCTCCCCTGCCAATGCTGGAGCACCGCCAGCAGAATCTGGGGCAGCAGGAGGGGCTGGAGGAGTGGGGGGGGTGGGCGGAGGAGGAGGCGTGGGGCAGCAGGACTGTGCGGAGCTGCTGGATGGGGAGAGCCTGGCGCGGGTGGGCAGTGGCGCGCAGTGCGTGTGGCAGGACTCCTCTCGCCTGCTGGTCTATCTGGGCTTCAACTCCTCCCTGCGCCCCTTCACCTCCCTCACTGCCGCCACCGCCCCCAACGCCACCCTCTCCTTCCGCCCCACCCTCTCCGCCCCCTCCTCGTCCTCCCCCGCCCCTCCTTCCTCCGCCTCCTCCTCGTCCCCCCTCGTCGTGGGCGTGGGCCCCCCAGGCGGCGCATCAGGCACGAGAACCCCAGAACAAGTCCAGGAAGCGGTGCAGGCGGGGGCAGTGGTGGTGGCGGCACTGGACGCGCCGGGCACGGTGGGCATCTGCGACGCGCTCGTGCTGGACGCGTCGGGGTCGCGGTCGCTGTACGGAGCGCCGCTGGCCTTCTCCTGGCGCGTGTTCTCCGACGCTGAATCGCTCTCTCTGAACCTCCTCGTGTCGTCGCAGGGCAGTGATGCCAGCACGCTTACTATTCCCCCCAAGACGCTCACGCCTGGGGCGACGTATGAGGTGAGGGGGGCAATGGTCGGGTGAGGGGGACAGTGGATGGGTGAGAGGGGAAATGGTTCTCCCACGCCCAGTCGCTCTCGCTGGACCTGCTCGTGTCCTCGCAGGGCAGCGATGCCACCACGCTCACCATCTCGCCCAAGACGCTCACGCCTGGGGCCATTTATGTGGTGAGGGAGGGAATGGTTGGGCTATTGGGATGTGTCAAATGTCTTTACGGGACACGAATTGGAGCACGCTCACCATTCCGCCCAGGAGTCGCATTGAGGGGACCATTTATGAGGTGAGGGGGGAAATTGAGTGTGCGATGGGGCAATAGGCGCGTGAGGGTGTGCGTGAGAGCAGCAAGGGGTCTGTGTGCAAGGAGTGGAGATAAGGTGAGAACCACTGCTCTTCTTCGTTTCCTCTCACACTCACACAGGCCTCATCTCCGTTCTCCTCCCCTCTCCTGCCCATCCTCCCTCACTTCCGTCCACCCCTTCCCCCACGTGCCTCTCCCTCCCCCCCTCCAGTTCGCAGTCTTGGTGACGGACCCCAACGGCTGTTGAGTCGCCTAAAAGTCACCCTTTTCCCCCTCACTCTCTCCCCCTTCAGTTCGCGGTCTTTGTAACGGACCCCAACGGCAGGGCAGCCAACGCATCACTGCTCGTGACCCAGTCCGCCACAGCCGCCCCCCTGCTGCGCATCATTGCCCCCGCCTCCCCCTCCGCCCTGCGCCTGCTCTCCGCCCGCCCCGGCGACTCCCTCACCATCTCCTCCCTCGCCTCCCTGCCCGACTCCTCCTGCCTCCCCCCCTCTTCCTCCTCCTCCGCCGCCGCCTCTCCTCCCCCACCAGCTGCAGCATCGGCAACAGCAACAGCAGCAGCAGCGGTACCAGTGTCGGCAGCGGCATCAACAGCAGCAGCAGCACCTGCATCGGCAGCATCCCCTTCTCCAGCGCCAACAGCCACAGTGTCCCCTTCCCTCCTCGCCCTCTCCAACGCCCCCCCCTCCCTCACCTTCTCCTGGTCTCTCATCGCCGGCCCGCCTCTCAACTTCTCCCTGCCCGCCCTCGCCCGCTCGCGCCTCTCCCCTGCCCTCACCATCCCCCCGGGCACCCTCCAGCCGGGCGCAACCTACGTCCTCTCCCTAGAGGCCACGTCAGCAGCAGACCCTTCTGTGAAAGCAACGGACCGCGTGGCAGTGAGGGTGAGCGCGTCGCCTCTGCGAGTGGCCATATCGGGCGGCGACAGGGTGGTGTCGGTGGGGGAGCAGCTGCTACTGCAGGCGGTGGTGGTAGATGCAGACGAGGCAAGGGACAGCCAGGGGAAGGCGCTGCCCATTCAGTACACGTGGGGCTGTGAGGCGCTCTCAGAGGAGCAGGCTCGCCTCCCTCCCACGGCTCAAGCTCAAGCCGTGTCCGCACCTACCAGCAGCAGCAGCAGCAGCAGCAGCAGCAGTGCGGGCGGTAGTGCAGGTGGCAGTGCGGGCGGTAGTGCAGGTGGCAGTGCGGGTGCGTCGGCCTGTTTCCCCAGTGCCACGGCAGTGCTCGCCCAGAGCACCTCCTCTCTCACCGTCCCTGCCAACGCCCTCCCCCCTGGCTCCTACCGCTTCTCCCTCCTCGTCTCCCGCAACCCCCTCTCCCTCCCCGGCACCTCCCCCGCTGCGCTGGCCCGTGAGAGCGTGCCAGCTGTCGCCGTGGTAACCGCTTTGGACCGCGTGGTGCCGCCCGCTGCGGTTGGCGTGGCGGCGGCTTGGGGGCGGGCGGCAGGGGCGATGGCAGAGTGGGCTCCGGGGGTGCAGCAGGGCAGCACTGGTGGTGATGGCAGCACTGGTGGTGATGGCAGCACTGGTGGTGATGGCAGCACTGGTGGTGATGGCAGCACTGGTGGTGATGGCAGCACTGGTGGTGATGGCAGCACTGGTGGTGATGGCAGCACTGGTGGTGATGGCAGCACTGGTGGTGATGGCAGCACTGGTGGTGATGGCAGCACTGGTGGTGATGGCAGCACTGGTGGTGATGGCAGCACTGGTGGTGATGGCAGCACTGGTGGTGATGGCAGCACTGGTGGTGATGGCAGCACTGGTGGTGATGGCAGCACTGGTGGTGATGGCAGCACTGGTGGTGATGGCAGCACTGGTGGTGATGGCAGCACTGGTGGTGATGGCAGCACTGGTGGTGATGGCAGCACTGGTGGTGATGGCAGCACTGGTGGTGATGGCAGCACTGGTGGTGATGGCAGCACTGGTGGTGATGGCAGCACTGGTGGTGATGGCAGCACTGGTGGTGATGGCAGCACTGGTGGTGATGGCAGCACTGGTGGTGATGGCAGCACTGGTGGTGATGGCAGCACTGGTGGTGATGGCAGCACTGGTGGTGATGGCAGCACTGGTGGTGATGGCAGCACTGGTGGTGATGGCAGCACTGGTGGTGATGGCAGCACTGGTGGTGATGGCAGCACTGGTGGTGATGGCAGCACTGGTGGTGATGGCAGCACTGGTGGTGATGGCAGCACTGGTGGTGATGGCAGCACTGGTGGTGATGGCAGCACTGGTGGTGATGGCAGCACTGGTGGTGATGGCAGCACTGGTGGTGATGGCAGCACTGGTGGTGATGGCAGCACTGGTGGTGATGGCAGCACTGGTGGTGATGGCAGCACTGGTGGTGATGGCAGCACTGGTGGTGATGGCAGCACTGGTGGTGATGGCAGCACTGGTGGTGATGGCAGCACTGGTGGTGATGGCAGCACTGGTGGTGATGGCAGCACTGGTGGTGATGGCAGCACTGGTGGTGATGGCAGCACTGGTGGTGATGGCAGCACTGGTGGTGATGGCAGCACTGGTGGTGATGGCAGCACTGGTGGTGATGGCAGCACTGGTGGTGATGGCAGCACTGGTGGTGATGGCAGCACTGGTGGTGATGGCAGCACTGGTGGTGATGGCAGCACTGGTGGTGATGGCAGCACTGGTGGTGATGGCAGCACTGGTGGTGATGGCAGCACTGGTGGTGATGGCAGCACTGGTGGTGATGGCAGCACTGGTGGTGATGGCAGCACTGGTGGTGATGGCAGCACTGGTGGTGATGGCAGCACTGGTGGTGATGGCAGCACTGGTGGTGATGGCAGCACTGGTGGTGATGGCAGCACTGGTGGTGATGGCAGCACTGGTGGTGATGGCAGCACTGGTGGTGATGGCAGCACTGGTGGTGATGGCAGCACTGGTGGTGATGGCAGCACTGGTGGTGATGGCAGCACTGGTGGTGATGGCAGCACTGGTGGTGATGGCAGCACTGGTGGTGATGGCAGCACTGGTGGTGATGGCAGCACTGGTGGTGATGGCAGTACAGGTAGTGCTGACAGCACCGGTGGCTCTGGTAGCCCAGCTGATGCCGGCCCTACAAACAGCAGCAGCAGCAGCAGCAGCATCAGCGATGGCACTGGCTCAGGTGGTGATGGCAGCACTGATGGTGCTGGCTCTACAAGCAGCAGTGGCAGCAGCGGGTCTGGTTCTAATAGTAGCACCGGTAGTGATGGCAGCACAACTGGTTCTGGGAGCACGAGTGGTGGAGGCTCTACAGGCACCAGCGGCAGCAGCAGTGCAAGCAGCGGTGGCAGTGCAGCTGGCACGGGGCCAGGAGCAGCAGCAGCAGCAGCAGCAGCAGCAGTAGCAGAGAGGAGCAGCAGGGGGGTGCAGGCGGGGATAGCAATAGACAGGTCAAAGGCAGTGGAGCTGCAGTGTGCGGTGGACGCCATGCCCTATGCCTACGCGTGGAAGCAGGTCCTCTCCGATGGTACTCTCCTCGACCTCAATGGTATGCGCTGCTCTGCGCTGCTGTGCGCTGCTGCACCCCTCCCCAAGCCACCATGCCATGCCCTCGATCTCATCTCCACCGCATCTCAGTCTCCCTCCCGCCTGTGCCCGTGTTTCAATCGCCACCCTCCCTTTAGTCTCAACCCTCCCTTCCCATTCCACCTGATGCCCCCCCCCATGCCCCATGCAGTGACGAACCAGCCGCTGGTGCTTCCTCCTTCACAGCTCGCCCGGGGCGACGCCTCCACCTACCGCTGCGACGTCTACTCCCTCCCATTCCCTTCCCCCTCCTCCCCCGCCTCCCTCGCCTCCTCCCTCACGCCTGATGGTCAGCCCGCCACAGCCATCCCCGCCAACCCCCCACAGCCCACAACCTCCGCCTCGCTCACTCTCCCCGCCGCCAAGGCCCCCTGGGGGGGGACATTCCTCGTGCAGCCCGCCCCTGGGGATACCACCGGGCAGCTCTTTGCTCTCTCCGCGCCTGGCTGGTCCGCACAGCCCCACGACCTGCCGCTCTCCTTCACCTTCGGCACCCTGCAGCCTGCCTCCTCCCCTTCCTCCTCCCCCGCCTCTCCCTCCGCTGCAGCCCTGCAGCCACTCACACTGCCCTCCGCGTCACCCTCAGCCCTGGTCATCCTCCCCCCCGGCAAGCCCTCTCTGGCAGTGCAGGTGGCCTCTGCGGCCGGCGCTGTCACGGAAGCCGTGTCCCCCCAACCCGTCACCGTGCCTTCCTCGGGCGCTGGTGAGGGGGCAGGAGGCGGGAGTGGAGGCGAGGGCGGGGCGGAGCTGTCAACGGAGCAGTGGCTGGCGGCTGTGGCGGCGCCTGCAGCAGCAAGGCAGGATGGCGCGCAGCTGCTGCAGGCTGTGGCTGCATGGGCCGCCATGTTCAGAGGCAATGCGTCTTCCTCTGCTAGCAGCAGCAGGGGCACGGACGCACAAGGTGGGATGGTGGATGGACGGTGAGCGATTGATTCTCATCCTGTGTGGTTGTGTGTCCAGCGTTTTAGATGTATGCATGCCCGTGCTCGTACTCACTATGTGGTTTCCTCCATTCACCGGGCATAGCAAGCTTTGTTCATTAATCCGTCATGTCTCTCCTTCCCCTCACCTCCTTCCAGTGGAGATGCTAATAAAGGAGGTGATTCAACAGAGCAGCACAACAGTGGTGACATCGCAATACGCTGAGCTGGCAGCATGCAGCCTGGCAGAGCTCTCCCCTCTCCCCGCCAGTCTCTCACCATCCACATCAGCAGCGCTCGTTGACTTTCTTGACTCGCTCACAGCTGCACCGGACGGCATCTCCTCTCGCACTGGTCATGTGCGTCCCACTCACAGCAACACCCCTCTGCTATTCTCCCTGCTTCACTCCCACCCGTGTCTCCATTCATCCCACCCGTGTCTCCATTCATCCCACCCGTGTCTCCATTCATCCCACCCGTGTCTCCATTCATCCCACCCGTGTCTCCATTCATCCCACCCGTGTCTCCATTCATCCCACCCGTGTCTCCATTCATCCCACCCGTGTCTCCATTCATCCCACCCGTGTCTCCATTCATCCCACCCGTGTCTCCATTCATCCCACCCGTGTCTCCATTCATCCCACCCGTGTCTCCATTCATCCCACCCGTGTCTCCATTCATCCCACCCGTGTCTCCATTCATCCCACCCGTGTCTCCATTCATCCCACCCGTGTCTCCATTCATCCCACCCGTGTCTCCATTCATCCCACCCGTGTCTCCATTCATCCCACCCGTGTCTCCATTCATCCCACCCGTGTCTCCATTCATCCCACCCGTGTCTCCATTCATCCCACCCGTGTCTCCATTCATGTGCACTCTTCTCTCACACTTGCCTTCATTGGAGCTTTTCTGTCTCGGCGGTTTCAACCCGCCATGCATGCACCACTGCGGTTAATGGGAAGTGCTCATGCTGCTGCTCTCTGTCCCATTGCACCATGGTGTGACCCTCAAGTCCAATTCTACCTCTACCCGTGCCGCTACCACTGCTGTCCCTCTGCCTCTCCCCCCCCTATGCATGCATCATCCTGTCCACGAGACCCCTCATTCACAGCCACTGCTGCTGCTCCCCTCAGCATTCCATTCCGCCCTCCTCACCTCGCATTGCTTCCTCTTCCCATGCGCCCCAACACCTGTCTGTCCCCCTCTCCCCCTTCCGTCCACCCCGCAGTGCATAGTTACGCTCACGTCTGACCTCCTCGCACTCTCCCCCCCACCCGTAGCCTCTACCTCCTCTGCTGCTCCTGCCACCTCCGCTGCCGCTCCTGCCACCCCGAATGCCTCTCCCACACCAGCCGCTGCCGCCGCCCCTCAACCCGCTTCCCCCTCTCAACGCGCCATCGCCCTTCAAGTCACCGCCTCTCAGCCCGCCTCTCCCTCTCAAACTGCCTCTGCACCGCAAGCACCAGCCTCAACAACACTGTTCCAGCTGCCAGGCAGGGTGGCAGCGGCAGTGCTGTCCCACCAGACGCCAGGCGCAGTCTTCCAAGCCTCCTCCGCCAATGTCAACCTCTCCGCCGCTAAAGGTGTTTCTTCCTGCCTTGCAAGCTGCAACGAGTGATAGTGTTGGGCTGTCCGCAGCAAATAATAGTGCTGGGTAGTCTTGGGCTGTCTGCGCCGTCCTTACCTCTCCACCTCTACTGAGCTCCCAACCAACCCTCTCCAGACTCCCGCCCCTCAGTGTTTCTTCACCTCTTGAGGTCATCTAGTGCAGTGCAGAGCAGTGCAGTGCATTGCACGGCCTCTCCTTCCCTTCTACCACCCCGAGTGTTTCTCGACCCGCCCTTTGAACCCAACTCCCCCTTCACTATTCACCCGTTATTACCCTCCCCCTCCCCCTCCCCCTCCCCCTCCCCCTCCCCCTCCCCCTCCCCCTCCCCCTCCCCCTCCCCCTCCCCCTCCCCTCCTCTTCCCCTCCCACCATGCAGTGCGCCGCATGGCATCGCCATCACAGCAGGGCGAGTTCGCAGCGCTGCTGCCAGCTGCCTCGCTGGCGCTGAACGCCACGGACGCCCGTCTGCCCACCGGCACGGCATACATCGCTGCCTTCTACGCCTTCTCCGCTGCCCACCCACTCGGCCTCTCCAGGTGTGTGTGCTGCCACTGCTACTATCCATCTGTTCACCCATGCTTGCTTCACGTGCTGCCAGCTCTTTCTCTTGTTTTTTTTTGTGTCTTTCTCCCATGTTACTTCTAAGTACCATCTACAACGATTGTAGTGCGCGAAGCAGGATTTATCACTAAGGGCATTTTCATTCATTCTGCGGCACTAAGTGTGTGTCCATTCATCCATGACGAGAGTGTGTCCCGCATCCAAGACGCCAACTCATCCCACACCATGAGCACATAAAGTTCCACAATCCATGTATTTTCACGCTCCTTGCATCTGTTGTCTCTCCGCTGCAGTCGAGTGGTAGGGCCGCCAGTGGTGGTGAGGGCAGTCGACGCATCTCTCTCAGACCTCAATGTATCGGCACGAGTCACCATGCTCTCTTCCCCACAGCCTGCCATGGGTACGTCATCATCCCTAGAGTTCGGTTCCTAACCCGTTTTCCCATGTCTTGAACAGTACATGCCCACACACGTTCCCTATCAGGAGACTGCTACCCTAGTGATGATTCATGAACCGCTCTCTTTGTACAATACAATCGTTCAACCACAGCCACAACCACAACCACAGCCACTCTCTTCTGGTTCTGCTCGCTCATGCAAGTGTCCAGTTGGTCCCAGCCAGCCTGCTCCTCTGCATCCTGCTCATGCCCTTCCCCATTCCTTGTCTTGTGTTGTGCTCCTCGCAGAGCTAGGAGTGGCACGGTGGGACGGCACGGCCTGGTCCTCCACCGCCCTCCACCAGCTCCCCACCGCATCCGACCCCTCAGGCCTGCTCACAATCAACGCCTCCGACCCAGCTGCCGCCCTCGCCCTCGCAGCAGCATCCATAGCCGGCCCCCTGCCCGCCGCCTTTGCTCCCTACATTCTCCACGTCGACCTGCCACCGCTTCCCCTGCCGCCCATCCCGCCGCCGCCCCCGATGCAGAGTGGTATGAGCGCTCTTACGGTGGCTCTGGCGGTTTCGCTGCCCATAGCTGGAATGATTGCGTGCATGGCGCTTGGATTGGAGCTGAACAGGCGCAGGAAGCCGGTTGCTGATGGAACCGAGACAGGCTCGTTTGATGAGAATGAATAGTGGTATTGACAAGTCGAAGCTACGGCAGTCGAATTTATAACAATTATCCTTGCTACCGCATTGCTTCATTCTAGAAGCTTTTAATCAAATTCATCCCAAAATATTGGGGTTTAAAAATCAGTAAGGCAGTTGTATGTGCGTAAGAGTGCATTCGTGAGGTTTGTTTTGTTATTCGCTCCAAGACTAACCTCGAAAGTGGCAAGTGAAGAAGCTTGTGCGTTGCGGGAGAAACCCCCGTTGACCGCATTTGACGGGGGCCCTATGATGGTTGGTCGATCCAGCAAAATGTTGGTCCCCCAAAGATTTTTCTCAACCCCAACCATTTTTGGGTGGCCAAATTCATTGGCCCACCTATAATGTTATGGGCACATATCCAATTTTCCAGTAAATGCTAATATCGCGTTCTGAAGACGTCAAAAACGGTTGAGTAGGTTTGCTAGGGCTGCAACATTGGTGGGGTTTGCCCAATCTCTAACCTGTTCCCGAGGTCTGCCTCGCAAACCCATCAACCGTTTTGGGTTGTTAGTCGTATAACCAACACCATTCCGCGGCGAAGCCTATTTTCCTCTGTAGGTGGAGACACAATCGAATCGCCGGGGCGCGGGTCGTTCCTAACGACAATAAGTGTGCGTAAGACCAGCCCGATCGGACCTGCCGCGTGATTATTCCGATAATTACTACCACCCACCGTCATATTCCCGTAAAAAAGCCGGCATGCTCTGCCTCCGCGTTTCGCGCCAAAGCCGGCTTTCCTCTCCAGGTGCAGACGCCGTCGAAGGGCGGAGCTCGGATCGCTCCTTACGGCAGCAACTGTACGCTTGCAGCGCGAAAGAGTCCGCTCACGATGCTGCAGGGGTGCTTGTTGCTCAGAGCTTCCGCAGCCCACGCCGACCCCTACCCCTCGCCGACTCGGCAGGAAGAAGTCCAGAAACCCATGGCGCGCCGCGCTCGGGCGACGTGCGCTGCGAGTCCATCGTATCGACCACATTACCGAATACCACGTATATATGACGCACGTACGTACAGCATCTCGTATAGCCAACGCTCGAGACCCCCGCATTCACGACGCGCAGGAGAAAACTATTAGTAGCTTTCCGTGACCTCCTTTTCAAGCCTGTCCGCGCTCTTTGGTGCAACTGCAAACTCTCGCCATGACAGGGCTCGTGCCGCCTTCCTGCTGCTTCTCTCGCTCCTCCCTCTACTCGTCGCCCTCCGCCTCCCCGCCGCCGTTTCCGCGACGCGCCTTCCCCCGGGCTTGGCTTCGACTCTCGCGGCGCGCCCCACGGCCGAGCAGCATCTGGCACCCGGCAGCGCGGCGGGCCTGGCCGACGATGCGCGGGTCGCCGCAGCCGCGGCGCGCGGGGCAATAGCGGGCCGTGCTCTTATCGAGGACACAGAGTACTTGCCCCGTTCGACGGACGCTCGAGTTCTGGCGGCGATCAAGCCGCTGCATTTTGCCACTGACACTGAGGGAGCGCGTGCTGCTGCGGATGCAGTGGCTGGCGCCCCAATTGGGCAGAGAGGAAGGGAGTTAATCCTTGAAACTATTGCTTTGGGGGTGATGGGGGCGGTCAAGGTGGCCAAAGCTGCGGGGCTGGCGGCTGCGGCAAAGGCGGCGGCTGCGGCGGGTGCAGCAAAGGCGGCAGTTGCAGCAAAAGCGGCGGTTGCGACCAAGGCGGCGGTTGCGGCAAAAGCGGCGGTTGCGGCAAAGGCGGGAAAAGTGGCGGCAGTAGCAGGGAAGGCAGTGAAGACGGTGAAAGCCGGGGGGGCTGCGTTGAAAGCATCTAAGGCAGGCAAGGCGGCAATCAAGGTTAAGAAAATGTATGACAAGGCGAGTAAGGTGAGGAATGTTTACAACCGGCTGGCACCGGCCATGAGGGCGCCGCGGATATAGATGGGTGGTTGGCAAGGCAAGGCAGGTTGAGAAGGTTAAGCTATGTGTGTGGCTCTCTCTACCTCATTGACAAGTCGCCACAAGCCACTTTGTGCTGGCAGCTGTTTGTGTGTGCGCTGAGTGTGGGAGGTAGGGCGTGTTCTTGTATACGTGTTTGTGTGTGTGTCTTGGAGGAGGGGGTGGGAGGGGAGGGGGGGTGTGTGCGTGCATGCGTGTGTGCCTGTGCATGTGCATGTGCATGTGCATGTGTGGTGGGTGCGTGTGTGCGTGCGTGCGTGTGTGCGTGCGTGCGTGCGTGCGTGTGTGTGCGTGCGTCCGTGTGTGTGGTCGGCAATAAATGCCCCTTTGTGAGCTGCTAGAGAGCACAGTAAGGGGGGTTGTACGAGCGATGCATGAAGGCAGAGGAGGGCAGAGGAGGGCAGAGGAGGGAAGAGGAGGGAAGAGGAGGGAAGAGGGCAGAGAAGGGCAGAGGAGGGAAGAGGAGGGAAGAGGAGGACAGAGGGCAGAGGAGGGCAGAGGGGTGGCTGAAAATTGAAGAGATGGCTGGAAGGAAAGGGAAGAAGTTGATTTAGCAGCTCTGGCAATTTTGTCAAACCTTCAATCTAAATGCTGTGAGGCTTTGTTGTGGCACTATAGCCCCACCGCAATGGTGTATTTGCCAAGAATAGGAAGATCAGTTTCCCACATCTGAAACCCTACTCAAAACTTCAACTCACTCTGTGAACTGAGGGCGGGGTCAGTGCGGTCGTAAGATACAGTTCATTCTGAGCGGTTACTCTTGTTTCGTCACGGTTGAAAACGGTTGATCTTAAAAACCGCTGTAAACCGGTTGGAATCTTTTTGCGCCACGACGGATGAACTGTACAACTGTGAAAAACGAACGCGCTGTCCCCCCCCTGAACAGAACTCATTGCACCCTCATCCTTGTTTTATAGAGAAAGTACTGCCTAGCCTGTGGAGAAGTATACCGTACTAGATCGTTTTGTCAAACTGTATATGTTATATACTTGTGTAGGCTGTAGTGGGGTAGCCCATAAAGGGTACAACCCAATGTTAGGGTTAGGATATGTACCCAACTCTGTTTCAATTCAAGCCATTCCCGTCTCTACTCTCTAAAATGGTTTCAGAGCAGTAGGTCCGTAGGACCGTTTTTTTCGGGCCCACCTACCGCTACCCCACGAATGAGCCTGTGACTGTGACTGCCACGCACACTGTCTGCTGTTTGCTGCCTACTGCCTACTGTTTGCTGTTAGCCCGCGCGCACCTTCCCGAGCCGCGCGCTGCCCGCACCGAGCCCGCGCAGCCCGCGCCGAGCCGCGCGCAGCCCGCTGCTGCCGCGCGCTGCCCGCACCGAGCCCGCGCAGCCCGCGCCGAGCCGCGCGCAGCCCGCTGCTGCCGCGCGCAGCCCGCGCCGAGCCCGCACAGCCCGTCCGCACCGAGCCGCGCGCAGCCCGCTGCTGCCGCGCGCAGCCCACACCGAGCCCGCGCAGCCTGCTCCGAGCCGCGCGCAGCCCGCTGCTGCCGCGCGCAACCCGCGCCGCGCAGCCCGCGCCGAGCCGCGCGCAGCCTGCTGCTGCCGTGCGCAGCCCGCGACGGGCCCGCGCAGTCCGCCCCGAGCCGCGCACAGCCCTCTGCTGCCTCGCGCGGCCCACGCGCGGCCCGCAGCAGCCCCGCGCGCTGCCTCCCGCAGCCCGCCCCGAGCCCGCGCTGCCCGCGCGCGGCCAGCTGCTGCCCCGCGCCCCGCTCACACAGACCCGCCTGGCCGCGGAAGCGGCCCCGACCTGCTGCTGCCGCGGCCCGGCCCTGCAGCTGCCTCGGCCCAGACCTGCCGCTGCCGCGGCCCCGCCCTGCAGCTGCCTCGGCCCCGACCTGCCGCTGATGCGGCCCCGCCCTGCAGCTGCCGCGGCCCCGACCTGCCGCTGACGTGGCACCACCCTGCGACTGCCGCTGAAGCGGCCCCGCCCTGCAGCTGCCGCGGCCCTACTCTGCAGCCGCTGTTGCGGCCCCGCCGTCGCCGCCGTCGTGCGCCTACCCGGTCGTCGCCCGACGAGCGCCTGACCTTCCAGCCTTTGGTGAGCACCTGCCTGCCTGCCTGCCTGCCTGTCGGCCTGCCTGCCTGCCTGCCTGCTTGCCTGCCTGCCTGTCTGCCTGCCTGCCTGCCGGCCTGCCTGCCTGCCTGCCTGCCTGCCTGCCTGCCTGCCGGCCTGCCTGCCTGCCTGCCTGCCGGCCTGCCTGCCTGCCTGCCTTCCGGCCTGCCTGCCTGGCTACCTGCCTGCCTACTTGCCTGCCGGCCTACCTGCCTGCCTGCCTGCCGGCCTGCCTGCCTGCCTGCCTGCCGCGCCTGCCCTGCCCGAGCTGCTGCTACTAAACCTGCTCTTAGCAGGTGGCCCGATGCAGCTCCAGCGACGTTCCCGCGAGTCTCTCACGCCCCAGCAGCTTAGTGAGTGGTATACTAGTTGGGGCTGTCGCGGTAGCCGTCGTAGCTGTCGCCCTGGAGCTGGTCAGTTGGGAGCGTCTGGCAGTGGCCAGCTGCAGCTACAGCGGCGTCCACGCGAGACACTTACGTCCCAGCAGCTCCATGAGTGGTACGCTCAGAGTCGGGGGTCTTTGAGTACGGTTCGCTGCTCGTACGTCATTCGCACAGGTGATAGGACTGGTCAGCCTTGCGGGACGCTTAGTCACACAGAGTCCCGCTGCTTCGCCCGTCTGAGCGATGCCTGGCGTACCGTGTTTGGCGACGAGGCTGAGCTCCCCGCCTGGCTGGAGCTGCTTGGACAGAGGGTCGATATCTTTGCTCTTGACTATGATGCTATTCTCACTGCCATGTATGCATTGCCTACTAGTGTTGACCGTGCCTGTTACCTGTGCGTACCGCCTGACCCTGGTATAGCGCCTGCTGCTCTCGGTACTGGTGAGGCTGCTGCTCTAGGTGCTCGTGCGTCTCCTACTCTAGGTGCTGGTGAGGCTGCTGCTCTAGGTGCTAGTACGTCTCCTGCTCCAGGTGCTGGTGAGTCTGCTCTCTCTGGTACTGCGCCTGCTGCGGTCTTGCACACCTTCACCCTTGACTCAGGAGCTTCCCGCTCCTTCTTTCGTGACTGCACCACAC